GACAATCATTTATTTTTTTTTTTCAACGTATGTACAAGGGACACCATCCTACAGCCACAATTAGAACTATTGTAATTCAAAACAGGTGTTTTAATGCGCGAGTTGCGCAAGAGCAATTTCACATCTTTTAAGACATTTTAATGAAATACTCCCTGTGCTTCTAACACTGTAGACATCCCTATGACCTTACACTGGCAATCAATCTTAAAATTAATATACAGATAGTTTTATTTAGCAAGGACGAAGTATAAACAGCTACTGGACTGATTTGAATGCATCATGTGTTAAACTGACGTAATTAGAGTTCAATTTATTCCGTGAGCTAACCAATGGAATGGGCCTATACTAGCAATTCATCATAATATACTGTATTTAAGACGAGGTGAGAAAACACGATTTGGTAAGAGTGGTATATAGGTTGATTTTGTATTTAATAAAATGTTTTATATCAGTAAAATATTTTGTAAGATTTATCTTTAACATTTAGATTAATTATACTTAAGTGTTTTAATATGTCGCCGATTTGTCACTGGGTAAGTAGATTTAGGTACTTTTAAAGATGTGTGTACAACGAGTTTGTCAAAAACTAGAGTGGGAGGGGGTGACCGGGAATTTCCCAAAAATATGAAAGGGTAGTTTACTTCGAAGGTAGACATAGTTTCCTTGGCTATTCTGTTTGTGACGGCTAGTGATAAGATGGAATGAATTCAAGGTGTTTGTAGGACTTCGGAGTAGCGAAAATGTTTTTTTTTATCAAGAGTATAAATATACAAGCGCAGAAGTCGTACCTCCCGCTTCGTTACGTGCAAATATTTTCACTATTGGAAATATTCGTGTAATGGAACGGTGAAATTACTAATTATTTCAAAAAGAATAACAGTCGACGAAGCTAAGATGTCTGCGGGAAGAGTTTCCAGCATCAAAAGAAACATCCGTAGGACTAGGGAGAAAAAGTTTCCACCATTTCCAACAACTGTCTCTGACTGGGAAATCCCTGATGAGTGGAAGACGACTGGAGCAGCAGCGCCAAACCTTTTCTTATTCACGATTCTGGCACTGGGTCACCTTCACGGCTTGTCGTTTTCGCAACTGAAGAGCAGTAGAATTTCTATGCGGGATCATACACATGGTTCATGGATGGGACTTTCAAAATGTCTTCCAAACTATTCCAGCAAGTGTACTTGGTGAGAGGAAAGAACAACACCGGAGTAAGTGTACTTGGTGAGAGGAGAGAAAAACACCGGAGCCCGGACATGCACTTACGCCCTGATGACAGAAAAGACCACTAAGACTCCTAAGGTTATTCTAAGAAAACTAGTAGACCTTGGCCAGCTACCCAGACCAAAAAAAGTAATGGTTGATCTCAAAGCAGCCGCCATGACCGCAATATCGTCCATTCTTGGTGATGGAGTAGGTGTTAACGGTGTTTTTTCACCTGTGCCAAAGTACATGGCTACATGTTCAGCAGCTCGGCCTATCCAAAAAGTACAAAGAAGATGATTAAGTAAAACTCTATTGTGGCATGATCGATGCCCTGGCATTCCTTCCACCAAAGGACTAATTGAAGGTGCGGCGTTCTTGTGGGGATCATCTCCTTTCGATATATACGAGGTATTACGTTACTTCGACACTACGTATGTTAGCAGTGCAACCCCCCCCCCCTCTTCCAACCAAAAGTTTGGAATGTCCACAGTGCTACAGTGGAGGGCTCGCACCGAACGAACAATATTTGCGAATCCTGGAATAATAAATTCCTACGATCGAATTTCTGTCGGCGATGGCATACAACAAACCCGCCAACAGAAGGTGGGAGTGATGTTGAAGACGACAGCAATGAGGCTCTTGTTCCTCTGGACCAAGATCCACAACAGTACTATGACCCGTGAGACAATTGTATGATTTGCATAAGAAGTTCCTAACTAGGGCTTATTTTAAACATCTCAGTAGTATGCAACCCAATTTTCGAGTATTTTAATTTTAGAGGGTATTTTTAGTGTATTTATGGGACATGTATAAGCTACAGAGACTGTGAAATACCAATATAATCAATAACAATGCCCGAAAAGAAAACATGAAACTTGGATGGAGTTCTACGGAGTTTGATACGAGGCTATAATTTTTAATTGGTGATCGAGGATCATTCTGTTGAATCTAAGCTGATTTTGCATATTTATTTGGATTTCAGTTGGAAGAAATTGCAAATCAGATTAGTCGGCTAAGTTAAGTGCCGATAGACGACAACTACGTTCCTTGCTACAACGACGCAACACGATGTCCAACATCCTACCCCCAATACAAGGACGTATTCTGTAGAGCCCTGCAATCACTTTTCTCTTTGCTGCATAATACACAGGGAGGGTGAAACTTTCAGTGGGCAACCAACCTTCGTCAAATGCTCTGTGTGCAGAACAACTGTTGCTAATGTTAAGAGAGCATTTTTGTAATTAAAGACCTTTATGATTCCTATTGATTTATTTTCCTTCTACAATAGGATCACCCTATTTGTTGTTACACTGACCAAATAAGCATGAGTTCGAACTGGGGGATACAACCCTAGGGAGGTACAATTCCGGCCCGAACAATTCTTCTGTACATTTTACATAGTTTTGGTTGAGAAAATTAGACGATATCGACACATCACTAACCTGTGGGGGGTACACTTCCACCACCCCCGTAAAAGGAATGGTCCAGTAAACAAGTTATATAGTTCGTCACACGAGCTAAGAATCCTTTCGTTTTCGTTAATTGTAAACTTGCGCTCAAGTCGAAATGAGGTAAATGATCAAATACATCATTAATGTATCAAAACAAAATGATTTGTTGTCACACACTTATTGTGTACTTTATAACAATGGCTCAGCAAATTATTCATTTCAAAATGTTGGTACAACTTAAGTTAATAACACTGCACAAAGGCAAAGTAGGGTAGGGAGCATTGTTTTATAATGCCTTTGTAAAGTGTTGTTATTCATCTCCCACGATAGAATGTGCTTTGTCTTCGTCACAACGACATCTCGTGGAGGTGGCACAAAGCTTTATCTTTTTCGAGAACACAATCATTGTTTGTTCGCAACGATTGAAACCTGGGTCGTTTTTTAAATTGTATATCATTTTTTAAGTTGTATCAAAAATTCAAACGAATGTAACAATTACTAGTATTTATTTTATTTGTCTCATATACTAAGATTGTATAAGACCTTTTAAACTGTTAACAAAAATGTTTTTTTTTTTAGTTACAGTTATTATTCAAAGAAATATAGTATATGACCTTAAACAATCGCAAGAAAACGTTTTATGGTTTTATTTTGTAGTGTTGGGTCTGCAGAGTGACATACTACGACTTGCTCAAAATCGGTCTAAAAATGGTCCAATTATTAGTTAAAGACATATATCCCAATTTTAAATATCTCCCAAAACTCTTTTTAGTCTTAAATTATTCACCAAAGTATTGACTTTTATTTTAGCTATGGATTACATATTAGTTTTAAATAATTCACCAAAATATTGACTTTTATTTTAGCTATGGATTACACATTGGGAGTTATTTAGAATTGTGAATATGTGCCTTTAACTAAAGACAAATTTCAAAATAGTAATAATTTTACGTTAATTTAAGGTCCGTTACTCATTTTAAATTGATCTGATTTTATTCAAAGATTAATAAAATTAAAGCCAAAAATTTACTAAGTAATCTAAGACTAGAAAGAAAACACAAGTACAAGTCGTAGATGACAAACATAAAATATTGTTTAATGCAGTTTCTTAATAAAAATTATTAACAGTATGAAATAAAGCGAGTTGAGGATAGGACAGAACTACTATAAAGAGTTCTTAAAAATTAATAAACTTACATTCATTATCGCCTATGTTAAGGTATTGCGAGGATAAAGCCGAAGGATCACGCAATAAACAGTGTTAGGTGACATTACGTTGGTTACAGGATGTACCGAGTCATCAGACTGCGGTAAATGCAGATGTGAAGACCACATGCGAAACTTAAGACAATGAAACACGCACTGCAGTGAAACTTTCCACATAAACACTGACGTTCATGTGACACTAACTGAGCAGTTATTATGTGGAGAGGGTGTATGTGGAATTTCACTTTTTAACTAAGTGGTGAGTTTTGAATAATTCATATTTCTGCATTGTGTTTCTTTTGTGTCACAATAGGAATGTTTATTTGTGATTTACAGAAATGTATAAAAACAATATTTTGATTGTGACACACAGTGAATAAATATATACATCAGAAGTTTCAAATATTGCATATTAGTTTTGCAAGATCTTCGATGCGAGATTTCCCGTATCGTTTCATTAGTATTAGATAAACACAACCATTTTCTATGTATTTTATAAATATATTAATGGACACATGAACATTCAGAACGATATTTGTTAAAACAAAGTTTAAAACTGATACTGCAACACCGTACAGGCTTGACTGTGTTAGATTGCATGTCGTAAACTTCCAACAATGACCGTAGGTGAATTCACTGATTTCACCTGTTTTTTTTATATATACTAAATGATTCTAATTTAAGTCCTTTCCTTACTTTACATATTTAAACGTCGCTGTCTATTCCAAAACTCTTTCTAATGCAGGAAAAAAATCAAGTCCCTGAAATTAATCCCGGTTAAATAGTAAGTCTCTATAAATATTAATCAACTAATACTCTGAACCCAAACGTGAGTTCTACAAACTTATACTAATCATAACGTTATTCTATAGTATAATGATAGTACACAATATTGAATCCCTCCCCATTTAATTAAATACAAATTATTGTAAAAACAATTCCCTCTTCTCCAGCTAATTATTTTTTATCCTAGTGCTAAGAAAAACTACTTTAGTACCACATCGCAACTTTTTCAAACATTTATTTTTTAGCAGTATACATTATTTGATCTTCTTCATCAGTCAATATCACTATATATTTTGTTAAGAAATGGCAGAATGCATCAGTAAATTAGCAAAAGTTACAAATAACATAGAATATAACAATAATGTGTTGTTTTTATTAGGCTTTTAAAACTATCAATTTTATAATGTAAACATGTTCAATATGTAGATTACATTGAGAAGTAGCGAAGAAGAGTGTATGTGTCGGTGGTACGTCTCAGGTGCGTTCCTTCCAATATCGAAGATGTCACTCCTGAATAAAACATGGCCGACAGCCCTCCAGTATTTCTTCCGTAATTTGGTTTCAGGGATACAGGGATACCGTCTATAAAACTCACAAAATACAGGACACTTCTCGATTTGAAATATGAGATTTCCAGGTTCTTAAGTGGATGTCTTTTAAAGGAATTTGATTGAGATTAATTGATTTGTTTTAATGTTTGCAAATACTAGTAAATAAGCATTCTCAAAACTGCAGTAATATATTTCACCACTTTTATAAACTGAGATATGTATAAATAAAATAAAAAAAGAACATGACTCGTTCATTCCTCCACTCGTCTGAATCCAAGTACTACAGCAAACAGGGTGGTTATATTTTATGAACTCTCTCATATTTCCCTGTAGACTCTACAATTCGCTGTGTTGTTTGCTTTTATTAACCCAGTTGGTGATAGCAGGAACAAGCCGTAAATACTTTATTACGTTTAAATTATTTGTGATCTGACATTTACAGATATTACGGATTGAATTGTGGCTATTGGCAGATTTATATAGCCTCGTTTTATTGCTTTAGAACTGTATCAAACACAATCATCCCAAGTCCTAGGAAAAGTTAGTAAACTTTTAACATGTCTGTAAATAATTATATAACATCATTAACAATTAAGCTTTTGTGCACACAATTTGAGAATTAAAATGTTAAATAAATAATCTTAAGTCCTTTTCTAAGAGGTAATAAGCCTGGTACAATCCTTTTTGGGGTTCAGTTTTTTATTCTTCGTTCTTTATTTACACAAATATGTTTGATGGGTGGCCTGCTTCGATAAATTATGTAAGTTGATGTACATCGGTTATACAGTATTGGGATTGATGGACATGGTTGTACAGATTTGAACCAGTTAGACCTCAACCACCGCTGGTCTCCGTGGGATCTATAGGTGGAAGGTCTGAGCCTAGACCAAACACCCGCGCTTTGTAAGGAGCCGAGGTTAGTCTCGGAGGACGGAACTCTGTAGGCAGCCGGGCGGGTCGGCGAGGATATCTGTAGTCCGGACTGGATCTTCTATCCTGCGAGTAATGTGACCACGGAGCGTCTGATCGTCTGGTCACACTCACCCTCCTGTACTGGTAGTGGCCGTCTGTGTTCTGGACGTAGTACAGGTCAGGGATGGGCGCCAGCGTGGGCGGGGGTGTGGGTATGACAGGAGGTGGTGGAGGATGAGGGTACGGCTGGGGGTAGGGCTGCTGCGGCTGATAAGGATACGCGGGATAGTATCCAGTCTGGGCGTACTCCGGGTAATACCCTTGGTAGGGGTTGTAGTACGCGTCGTAGTACGTCTGAGGTACCCTGTAGTACGGGTTGTACACGTTGACGGGGTTGTAGGGTGGTGTGTCCCTGAAGCGTGGACCGTTGCCCGGGCGGAACCTCCTGGCGCGGCGGGGTCGCCGTCTCACTAGTCTGGGCGCACGTGTCGGCTGCCTGGGGGGCGCTGGGCGAGCCGAGGGGGTGTCTTGTATGGCGGCTGTCCCGTTCTGTGTCCCATCACTAACTCTGGACCCATCGCTTGGTAAAGACTCTGTCACATCAACTGATTGTGGAGATTCTGTAGGCGAATCTGTTAAAAAAACATTGTTTAGTTCTTTTTAGTGAAATTAGTATTTTGTAGGACTACAAGTTTACAAATACCAATGTTTAAAGTCTATTACCATTTGTCATGGTTGTACATATTATAAATAGTTATATATCTTTTGTGTGTGGGATCAAATTAAGGATAAACAGATATTTAAGTAGTATCTGTTATATAAAGCCTATAGTAATGCATGCTACCAAATAAGTGGATTAAGGATATTAACGGTACACAAAATTAAAAATTAAATAGACAGATATTTATTGATCATTCTTTGCAAACAATTTTACACAGACACACACACAATATCAAATGTATAGTTTTTAGCAGTACACTCAACCTAAGGGACAAATAGCAAAAAGATATGTATATACTTCCGTCAAAGGAGCCTGCAGAGTGCACAGTAAGAGTTTTTTTTTTTTCACTTACGTTAATTTTTATATTATGCAGACGTAATTTTATTCTGAGATCAACGGACAATTCAATTAACGTAGGCTTAACAGGTACACATAGGGACCCGGCTAATCAAAGTTAGAGTGAACATATTGCAATCCTTATATTACAATTTTCTTTCAAATAATACAGGTATATATTTTAACCCCCTAAAAACTTAAAATAAATATGCTTAAGGAAATTAAAGTAATAAGCTCAAACAAAATATTATTTGGATAATAAACAATTAACTTTTTCCATGTGTAAACTTTTAGTATTGTGATTGAGAAGTTTTGTAAAACGTAATGAAGAGCATTCAAAAAGTCTAAATATTAAAAGAATTAATTTTGCAATTGTTGAAGAATAATTACTATTTGCACATGGACATACAATTATAATTCTAAGTTTACATAGTACACGGTTATACAGATTTATAGGTAGTTATAATAAATTAAAACAATCTTAAATCATTTCAATAGTCGTGAATGGTAAGTTAACTTTTTTGATGATATAATTCGGTTCAAAGAATTAGTGTGATAAAAAAGGTGTGGTAAATTAGATCATCTTGATTTTGTTACTTTATTCAGTAACATTTGTTTCGTTTCCCTTCGAGTTTAATAACATATAACCTGATAAGCTTTTGAAAACTTAATTAGATTATGTCATTGATATTTTGTCTAATATTGCAATGTAAAAGATTATACCTATTTTTATACACATTTTTTTATTGGCACGGGTATAATAAAGTCGTAATAAATGTTTACCATACGCATAGTCTACATATAAAATTCCTATAAGCAGTTACGTTAAATATAATTTACATTTACCTGAGATGATCTCAGTGACGTTGAGTTCTTCACTTCCTAGAGCACATTGAGCAACAGATGACAGCAGTAAAACAAGTAGGAACATGACACAGTGAACAAGACCTCTTTATCGTACCTCACATCTCATCACCTACTTAATCTAAGTGTTTCATATTATTAGTCACATTGTTTAACTCCACCACAATTTATTCCAATATAACTGATGATGGATTTACGATTTACTACTATTAACTGTCAAACAATACACTGAGCCATGTTGTGTGACTGGAATAAAATGTGCAATATATATTTGTAAATGCTTGATTAAGAATATACTTGAGAAAAGTGATGCTCAAGAGATAGGGCACGTAGAGCATGTTGTATTTCATATTACTTTAAGTATTGACTTTTCATGCTGTCATAGACTCTAAACACAATTATGAAGCAATCGTCTAGTACCCCCTCACACTTTAGTGCGATATTTTAGACTTAAATCTATTTCTATTTCAACGGTATATTATACAGTTTACGCGCTCCACTTTTGAAACTGAGAAAATGACAGTTCATAAATAGTTTAATTCTGTCCTAATATGTATATGCAGTGTTTGGATAGCAATAAATTAACAGAAAACATGAGTACGCACACTTTATATGCTAATTAGACAAAACATTTAAAATGTCTTTAACTAATTCCTAACAATGACAAATTATTAAATACTTTTGTTAATATAAAGTGATAGAATAATGATAATTCATTAACATTTTTAATCTGCTAGTAATTAAAAATTATTGTATTTGATTTACATACACGCTATTATTCTATCAGAAATAAATACTTCAATTTGTCTTTTAGTATTTGGACTACTTGTTTCTGTTTTTAATTTATACTCCATCTCATTATGCGGTAGAAATTAATTTAATTAAGTACTTTCTCTCAGGTAACAACGGTAAAAAAGTTGGGACATTTGGAGGGCCGAAACTGTGTAAAAGTATTTAATGATCGCAGCTGTGCCGTGATGAAGTGGAAGGAACTTTCTACTGTTGACTAACACTCAGCACGTGACGAGAGGTCCAATGCCTCTGCAACATTGTAGGTGAAATATTGACTGATTCGATCTTATTGTACCTAGAAAACGAAGTAAATAACTGAACCAGTTTTATATGGGCATGAGAGTTAATTTCGATAAATAGATGATGATTAAGTCTACGACCATAATATTTTCTCGCGTATACGTATTCAGCAATGTTTTTTAGTCTTTTTAATAACTGGAGATTTTTTATGATTAATGAGTTTTTCTGGTAAATAGTTCACTACTTAAATACATAATTGTAAAAAAATCCAAATTTCAAAAATTATAAAACTTAATTTCAATTACTAGGTTCACGATAATATTGCTAATGGCGAGTTTTGTAAAAATATACTACTAGTATTGGTTGTGTTTGCCATAAAAGTGCAATTTATACTTAATTTTAATAATTTTAATCGAAATATGTATGGAGTTTTCTGAGGAAAACGAATACATCATTAAGATTAAAATTATGTTATAACATGGGATGAACTTGAGAAAAATAACTAATAAGAACAAGGAGAAATCAAGATTTGACATACATTAACTAGAGTAAAAATATTACACGAAATAGTAAATACTCCAGCCAAGTATTTCAACCAAGTGACCGTTTTTTTGCGGTTATTAAAACACTGTGTGTAATTGCATATGAAAAATTTAATTACTTTACGATACACTTTGAGTTATTGTTGGACACTATATAAAATAAACCCTCACTGTTCAAGAAAAAGTTATATTAGTAGTAAAATAGAAATTTGTGCGAATTTATGTGGTATTTAAATGTTGCATAAATACAATTGTCATGTTGCTTTCTATCAATCCAAAGTTGTTCAACTATCTGACAAATCCCTCCGATTTACTTAATGTAAAAAAAAAACTATCACGGAGGAAGTTTTTGTGTTTCTATGTCCTCTATAAAACGTATACAGTACAGTAACACAATTGAGTTGCGTGAATATTTTATTTATTATAGATAGTTGCTGAATCATTTTCGGCAGATTTTACTCGTGTCTCTATGAGAACTAATCTTAAACTTATATTGCGTTGACCTAATTTGGTCTAATAATATAATATATTCAGTATATGAGCAACAAAGGCAAACTCAGTTCGGCCCGTGCCTCTTGTGACACAGGGGGAAATGGACTTGGTCTCTGAAGAGGAACTTGGTGGTCGGAACTTACACTTACCTAGTTTCCAACTTGGACAAAACTTGAGATTATCGCAGTGGGCTTCTTTATTTTATTTCAGTATAGTTCTGTATTTTTGACTGTTGTTTGAATAGAACCAAATAGGAATATTGCTATTTTATTATGTTTCGATTCCAAAGTTTCTGCATAATGTTCAGACAAGACCAATTGCAAATCTTGTTTGATATAAACGGAATGATGAGAATGTCCTTGTTAATCCGAAATATGTATTATTACTATTTGTATCAGGTTGGTGTACTTTATATAAGCTACTCCTATTTTTTTCTATCTATTAAAAAAACTTTAAAACATGAATATTAAAAAATTAAGTTTGCGTAGTAATTTTTCTATAGACAAACTATTTGATCTTACGTCCCTTCTTTAATCTATTATTTTAAAAAATTGGGAAAAGGTTGAAACTATACCATATATAAATCTTTATTGGAATAGCGGAAGAATAAGGCGAAGTTTTTTGGAAACTTAAAATCAATTGGCTTAGTAGGCTTTAAGCCCACAGATAACAACGTAAATCCGCGTACAAGTACAATAGTCCACTGGCTCAACCACACTTGTCATAATCAGCTAAAATGAGAGGCAATGGAATGGCCATTCATTCCCATTGTGCATTTACCCTGAAATGTTACATTCTCATAGTACAGTGATGGAGATTAGTATGGGATCGACTACCTGTATTATACTTTATGTCAATTATATTTCCATTCAACTGAAGAAGCGGATATCAATTTTGGACCCATTTGCCAGTACAATGATATAACAATACTGTAATAGTTGCATAGTTCTCTTTTAAAAAATCATAAAAAAACCAATCGGGTGAAAACCAAGATAATTTCGCTTGATGCAATTATTAAGTATAATAGAATCATTCATAGTTCTAGCTAATTAATTAAAACATTGTTGGTACTGATTATTGAATATAATCAAAACAAGCCGAAAACAGGTGTAGAACACACAGAGAAGTGTTTTTTGTGAGTTATTAGACACACAATAATGACAAAATGATTCGGTACTTTTGCATTTTTCCATTAAGAAATGTTGAAATTATTATTTTTGTATGCAGTTGATATGGCATGAAAAAGATAACAAGTGCAATAAATTGTACCTTCAGTTGGTTTTGAAAAAAAATTAGCTCATTCACCAGAAATTGTTTTACATACCTTACTTCTTACATACCTTATTACTAAGTGGCCGTCTAAATTAAACTACATTATTAAAAAAAAAAAAAAAAAAATTGCTATAACTTTAAGATCAGAATGGACTCCATCCAGGTTTTTACATAAAATTTTATACATTTAGCAAAACGTAAATGTCACATAATATTCCAATAGACAAAGACTATTTTAACAAAATACATATATAACAACAAATTCCACATATTTTGCGGGATTGTTAGTATGTGATAAGAGAAGTTGCATTTATGCAACGGTAATAATGAATCGCATTTATTAAAAACTATTCAAATACTTTCGATTAGATACAATTTAGAAATAAGTGCATTCAACTAAGTCATATCAACATACAATGTAGGATGATGATAACAGTGTTCAAAATGTAAATATATTCAAGATCTAGTGTTGGATACATGATAATCGAGAAAATGTTAAATGAAGTGAACGGTTGTATAGAGACGCCGATGCTAAGCTACGATTACAAGGAGCGCTTCTCGATAAGCTGATTGTAATGCATTAGTTGATAAGACTCTGAGTAGCTGTCATTTAGATAAGCTGTGTCGTTGCTGTGACTATCTGATCAGCCAATTGAACATTGTCACATTCACTGCCATGGGCGCTTTCAATTGTGTTTTGTCAGATCGAACGGTATTATTACTTCATCTGTTGCGAGCCAAGTGTTTAAAAACTCAATACAAATCGCGATATTTAAATTCTTGACTTTCAATATAACTAAGAATGAAGGGTCTTCCAGGACTCTGTGTAGAAATAAGAGAAGTGGGTGAAGGCGTGTTTTCGAATAGCCAAGACTTATTTATGATATTGAATTTAAAGGTGAGGAACGATGAAGAAATGTTCACAAAGATAAGACACGGAATGAACCTTGTGGAGAATATTTTGTCTATCTTGACTTATCTTTCTACCTTGAACTTGGATTATTTTGAGCAACAAGAAAAGCTTATAAGTGAAGTGGATAAAATCAAACATTCCTGCGAGGAACTACAAATGATTTTGTCAAAAGCAAAGGTAAATGGTAAATCGGAGTTGAAAAATAAAAGAATTTATCTTAAAAAGTTACTGACTTCGATAAAGAATAGTGCAAATAAAATAATTACGATATCTTTTCTTTGTGATAATACTGATGATCACGAAAATGACAACGTCAATATGTGTGCTAAGCGTCCTGAGGACGTTTGTTTTAGGGACATAAAAACTTGTGAACGATTTTGCCCTAATGGGTTTTGTATCGAGGAAAATGCACCATCGTTACAAAATAACTGCCCTGAATACACCGGGACATTTACAGAGAGCACTCTAACACACGTGGAAAATGGATATGATGGAAATGAGGACGCGGTTTGGAAAGTATACCCAGATTCAAAAAATTATAAAAGAAGAAAATGGACTATATGGGATATTTTGAACCACAGGTTTTCAAACAAAGTTGTCAGTCAAACTACAGATGGCAATAGTTTGAAAACCAATGTCAAGAACCACGCAGGAGTGTTAAATAGAATTTTAGAAAATCAATACTACGTTACAGAGTCAACTGTGGCTGAGGAAGACTTGATAAATAAGACAAGCATAGAAGTTGGTGGCTTTGCTAAGGGAGAGGTGATAGAAGCATCATCTTTACTGTACACCTCAAATGAAAATAAACTAAGTTCAGATTCCAATCCAACTAGTTCCAATTCCTACGACGAGGACTACA